AATGTTCCCTGTTCCATCATACCTGCTTCTACAATCCCTGCTACTGCAGACGGGAGCTGTGCAATCTAGGAAAAAGTATAAGGAAAAGAAAAAGAAAAAAAATAAGGGAAGCACTTCTACTTTAAGGAGGACAAATTTTTTCAAGTGTGAATGGGATTGTTAGGCTCAAAATTTCGAATTTCTCTCTTTCTCTCTCTCTCTCTCTTTCTTATTTTATAGATAAATAAATTTATTTTATCGCGTATTTTTATAACGTAATGTATTCTATGTTATTGATTTTTTTCGAAATATTTCATTATTTATTTTTTCTTTCTTGATTTTTATCTTTTTACATTTTAATTTTCATATTAGTATGTTATAACGTATTACAAAAAAATTTTTGTTGTATGTATTCGAACAAGTAAAAAAAATATTATAAGCGTTGATTCGAGGGTTTTTTTTAAGAATTGGTTTTGTTAGTTTTTTTTTATCGTCATTGCGATAACTCGATTCTGTCATTGTCCAGTCGATTATTTGGTTCTTTGCCAGCGCACCTTTTTGGAGAAGCTTGCACTGCGATGAGTCATAGCTTGTCAATGCGTTTCCCGTGTATCGACCTGCTACACGAACGAAACGTAGGATTGGTTAGCACTCACCCCTATGGGGGAGGAATCGATTCGGCATAATGGAATATAATTTAATTTCGCCATTAAATCGCATAAATGATTCAATACAGAAACGGTGATGTCATCCAATGAATTACGAGCGTTGTTGATACACTTGGTTGATACTATCTAAATATGGATTCTTTTTATACCAAGGGTTGAAATTGTTATAACACCGATGATCTCAAATTTCAATTGAATGCTGAAGGCATTCAAAAATAATCTTTATCTTTTACTTTTTAGGCTGGGTTGTTCCACCTTTCGGTAAACTTCAGCTCATTGTCTTACTCTCTTATGTGTTTTACTCTTTTACTCTTTTGTTTATCCAATAAGTAAATTACCACACAGTTTATCTAAAGATGAAACAATCGGCCCTTAATTGTGCAAATATTTAAGGGATCAAATGATCTATGTTATAGGAGAGTAATCTGCAAATTGTAAGTATATTTGTATAACTTCTAAAGACAAGCGTAATAAACAGAATTTTTCAAAATTAATTTTCTCTGAATTATTGAGTCCATTAATATTTTTTGAAATAAAATATTACATATCTATATGAAATTATATATGTCGTTCGTATGCCTCGTATACTGCATGAACATCAAGATAAATTCAATACATCATAATATCGTTTCGAAACTTGAGTCTTGAATTCAATAATCTAAAACAAAGAGAAATCTTTGAGAAATAAAAATTATTTTTATTTAATTTATGTAAATGTTAAAGCATTTTATTAAATAACGTTTAGAACCATTGAGAAAAATCGTGTTTTTCAGTTTTTTTTCATATCTGTAAACATTATAAAAAAACGTTCTGTTTCTAGTGTGACTCAGGCTGTGTACAATTCGCTGAATAGACCCAAGTTTGCATTACAAATATGCGATACGCGATCGTGCCTCGCAATCAACGGCGTTATCGGCATTCGCGATATCCGGCATGAGGGAAAAACGGAATCTAATAATCAGGCGTCGAGATATCTGACGCGTATCTCGAGGATAGAAAAGAACGACCGGATCGGTGATTGCCCGTCGCTGCTGTCGTTCCACGCACGTCGTTCCACGTGTGTTCGAAAGCCGCGGTATATACGCGACTATCACCTGCGCTACCAGTTCTCCGTTATTTCATTGCAAATTACTTGCCAAGCTACGAGCCACGTTATACAGTTATCACAATGAGAAAGTTGTTTCGATCCGAGACGTATAGAGACGCACGAGTGACTTCGTCCGTGCGCGATTGCGACTCGAGTGTGACTCGGAGTTCACCACGCGTAAGTCGTAAACCTTGAACGAATGGAAGAAAATCGCTGTGAAAATCGCGAATTAAATTTACAGTTTAACACTTGGTTCGCGATAGCGACCCGTGGAATCCCGTGTAGTTTTAACTAAATAAGTCTTGTTTGCTCCATTTTTATTCTTCAATGCACGTTCGTTTTATTTCCAGACTGCACTGAGGAAAAAAAGTTGCTGATTTAAAAAAAATATTTAGTTGATTCAAAATTAAATGTAGTGATCACAGGCTGTGAAACAAATATTTGTTAATTCAAACAAATAACGTGTTTTAAATTACAAGATTTAATTGTAGAGTTAATATAACTCGTGTACATTTAACCTAAATATGTAAATATTTGAACTAAATAATCACTATACAAACTAAACACATTTAGTTGACAACTTTTTTTTTAGTGTAGAACATTGTTTTCCGATTTATAGCATTACGATAATATTATTTTTACATTTTTCGTACAAGGGATCTATAAGAATGATAATTCGACAAAAGAAAGCAGTTAAGCTGCTAATTATGAGATCGGACTTTGTGGATTAGAAGACTTTGGAATATCTAGATTCTATTACGGAAAGAATAGCTTTACTGAAATATCTAAAAATTTATAGTTAGATACAGATCTAAAAATAATTTTGTTGTAGTATCATTAAAATAATTATGTGAGAATCTCAAGCATGATGAGCAATGTCGTAAAAAATTTTGATATTTTAGCAATTAGTTTGAGCGTTCTACATGATTATTTTGATGGTTCAACAAAATTATTTTCACAACAATATCAATTTTTAAATACTTCAACAAAACCATCCTTTTCGTGTAATCATTTTGATAATCTAAACAAAAATTTTCATTTATATCTTTAAGTCTGTATCTAATTCAATTATTAGATAGGTATTTCAATAAAACCATTCCTTTCTATGTACGAGTGTAAAAATTTAATAAGCTAATGCTGTACATGATCTGACAAGTCTTCATCGATTTAAAGACTACGAAATGAACAGAATCGAAGATGCTCTTAGGAATTTAATATTTCTACATGAGTTTTAAATTTAAGAAGTAAAGAAAATGGTAAAAGGCTTTAAAATTTCTTTCGATTGATTTTAATTGTTCGAGCTGATTAATGTGTTTATGGATCGCAATTAGGATAGATTGAAAATTATCATCTCACTTATAGAGAGAGTTAATTTTATTAAATTATTTATTAAGTTATTTATTAACTTATTTATTAAGTTATTTATAGTCGACTGAAGAAAAATCTTGCGCGACTTCCTTCTTTCATTCCTCGTCGTTCTGCTAACCGGACCGCAAATCGCGCACACGTGACTCCAATGTTCCGGTCGAGATCTTGTATCTTTTTTTTTTGTTTGCACTGTAGCGTGGCAAGGTGAGACGTCGCAAAAGAAGACTAAGAAGGACGCGGGCATCACGTATGGCCGTAAGAAGTCGTGTGGCCCTTGAATGGCTACTCGATGGAAATGAAAGTAACACGTTTCGAATGCCAGCTAGTAGTGTGGACCGTGGATCTTTCATCTCTCTCTTTCTCTCTCTCTCTCACTCTCTGTCATTGCAACGGCGACCTGATTTGTTCTTAAGCCAGCGCTGTGGCATAAATGTCGACAGATCGAATCGTCCTTGAACGATAAAAGCTCGCATTCCTCCTGAAGTAGTAAGTGAGAGACCGAAGAGATCTCGACCAGTATCATGTTTCATTGATTATCCAACTTTCTAAATTTTCATAGAATATGGAAGAAAGACGTGTTTTTTTTTTTAAATAATGAAGAGAAAACAAATTCTGTAGTGTTATTGAACTACAATGTCATGATGCAATTCTGTCCCGTAATTGGAGATTGTAACAATGAGATCAAGGAAAACGACAAAACGAGTGTAGAGTTACTTTACATAAAGAGCTATTTATTTAAATTAATATGTTCGTTGTTAGTGTGATTTCTTACCTCATTTATGAAATTTGTAATTTAATCGTTAATAAGACGTGATGAAGAGTCGATGGTGCACTGAAAAAAAAGTCTAGTTATAGCTATCAAATATTGAGTGAAACTATTTCACTCAATATTTGGTAGCTATAACTAGACTTTTTTTTCAGTGTGGGAAAATTGTAACACAGGTCTGATTTACAAGCGTAAAGATGAGAGGTCATTACCTTTGAATATGCAGAAGATTAGTTTGTACGATACTAATTGTAATATGTCGTCAAAGTTACGACTCTGAACACTAACTTTTGTTTGTGTACTTTACTTCGGATAACTGAATGTTAATACGTCCAGTTTCACTTTTCGTGCCAAGCCGCTAAACGACGTTCAGAAATCTTTCCGCGCATGTTGCTTGCGAAATTCCTCATTGTCCCGTGGTGATGGAAGAAGTGGAGGTGAAGGAGGAGGAGGAGGAAACGAGGGGCGTATGTGTGCCAAGAGGTTTTTCTCAGTCGTCGACCGCGATAGATACGGTCGGATTGTTCGTTCGACGGAGAAAAGTCTTCACTCTCTTGGCAGCGAAATCGACAATTTAGATATGTTTCAAAAAATTCAAAAGAAAAAAAAAGATAAGTTTTTTTTTTAAGAATAAGTCTTGTTAGGATTTTCTCGTATGCGTATTTGAACGACTACGTCTTTCGTTCTCTATAAAAGTGTGATACAGAATATGCCTACTAAATCTCATTTTGTTAAAGGTCTTCAAATCTACGATTTTTTTTTATATATCTTTATGTCTTAAATGAGTGACTAAGTCAATAAGTAACGTTAATATACATGAATTTTTGAGAGCAAAATTAAAGTTTCTTATTAACTTATTGACTTACCTATCGTATTTCAAATTTTATGATTTAATTTTCATCATATATTCATACAAATCAATTAATGAATGTACATGGAATATTAAAATGTATTTAAAATATTGTAAAATTTGAAAAATACTTTATTACTATACTTTATTAATATAAAGTTGCATTTATATGTACTATTCAATATACTTTTTGAAGAAGTTTAAGTCTTGTATATTTTAATGAGTATAGAGCAAGTAGTCAAATACTGTTTTTAAAATCGTTTTCTTTGTTTATGCTTTTAGGACCAGTTCGAGAATCTATCCCTGCACACACAAAAAGGGATAGAATTTCTCGAGAGGTATGGCCACTTCATACGTGATCGTTGTGCGATCGAATTCGAATACGCAGCGAAACTCAGGTGAGACATAATAACTTCCTAAGAATGTAAATAAAGAGATACGAAAAATTAGAGGTGACACTTGAACACTTTCGAAGTATCTATACTCTACGTGCTAAATACTACTTCGATTTTCTCTATTATAGATATTTTAATAATTGTTATAATCTTTTATAATTAGATAGAATTATTATTATCTTTTTCGAGGTTTTCTTCAAATAATTTGCATTTCAATTTATTGCATGATTAATTTGGAGCATTTTGCATCAGAAGTTTCTTACAGAAAACCGCAAGTAATTAGAAAAATGTTGAATTTATTTCTGTCTGCGTTACACTTTTGATCTGTTTATTACATATAGTGTGTTACTTTTATTTTTTCAATTTTTTTGTTTGCCTTATTTGTTATTAAAATTTATATTATATTAAAGATGGAAGAGAGATGCGTACAAAATTAAAAAAAAAATAGCGATGAAATATTTCTCCTAGTTTTGAAAATAATTTAGAGCGAAACAGAAAAAAAACAAAGGAGCAATAGCAGGTGCACAGCGACCCTCTCGGAATGCTTTCGTATACCTGACATATCTCGTGTACCCTGTCGTGCAAGTCGATGTGCTCGTATACGATGTTACTTTTTTTTCAAGTGCCTCGACAAAGGGTGAGGCATCCGAAGCGAAATAATTTCAATGGGACATTTTGTATAACGAGCGTGTCTCACGCACCCCGCGGGTTCAGGGACGAGGCGAGATCTGTAGCGAACTAATATTGTGTTAAAGGAATCCCTTGTCCGTTCCGTGAATGCCGTCCACTGTGGCGTACTTTTGTTCTATCGGGTGTCTCGAAATCCATCCACTCCGGCCGCTTAATTACTCCGTTTTGCATTGCGCTTAATTACTTCGTCGCATATTCCGAAATGTGCGCTGCATGCAACATTAATAATAATTAATTGTACAGTCTGTCGTTTGACATAATCAACGAAAATATATAGTAGGGGTGAAATTTTAGAGACATAATGGGACGCAAATATGTTTATTGTTCTTTGTTTTTAAATACACCTTATAGCGAACTTACAATTATACGCTCTGTCATAATTAAGAATATTTGAAATTGTTGTGTCACGTAACTTGAGGCGTGAGCTTTCATAAGGAAATTAATCATGGTAATCGTATAATTACAATTACCATAATTAATTTTCTTACGAAAGCTTAACGAGATTGTAAGACAAATGCAATATGTTAAGAATTACTTAAAAAAATTACAGATTATTCTAAATTGCATTTAAAAGTAATAAACAAATATTAGAGACAGTTGACCATTTGGATCAAAAGTTATTTCAATAAAAAGTAATACTTATTTTTTAAATTTATACTCTAATAGAAATATATAAGAATGTGTATTATATAAAATAATGATAAAAATATCTCAATTTTTTTATATAAATATTTTTTGAGTTTAAGAATATTTATGTAAAGTTACATTGAGATACAGACATTAATTGTTCAGTAAATAAATAAAATATTTATTTGTTATAAACTAATTGATGAATTTCAATAAATTTTCATAAGTCATTTTTTGTATTAACTCAATAAAAACAGAATCTGTTATGAACATAATTTTCACATGTATGTAGTTTGTTTAAAGCGTAAATATTAATATATGTGTTCTATGCCCTATAACCTCCTTAATGTACACATTATACCACGTGATACAATTGAATTGTTATACAAATATAAATTGTATGAATTTACAATTAAATTTACACGTTTGACGAGAAAATTAATGAGAAAATATACAGACTATTCTGACCATCTAAATCGATTTTGACGAAATGAAGGAATTAATTAGAGGCAGACGTGCTACTGTGAGCAGTGATTTCACGCGCTTCGCTGCGCACGTTCGCTCTTGCCGCTGCATACGAATCATCGCACTCGCGCGTCCTTCGTCTTAATGCGCTGCAATTTCCAGCGTCTAGCTCGACCCTCGATTCACTTTCGTATAAAAGCGTGGCGGTCAGTGTACGCGTATTCTGGGACGATTCTGGGAAAATTGCCACAGCTCCATATAATACCCGAAAAATTACGCGATCAAGTAACTGGAGACTCACCCGGATATCCAACGTAGTATAATAGCATCTATTGACAAATGCTCGAAAAAGGATCGAACGTGTATCTAGATGATACTTGGAAAGTCTTAAAATATTTTATTCCAGGAGAATTATCCTGGTATAAACTTCCGCTATTTCCCGCTATTCTTTTTCGTTCATTTTCTTTTTCCTCTTCATGTTGCTTTGCTATATCAAGAGCGTGTGAGATTCAACGTGATAGTGTATTTATAGACGGACGTGGTGCGCCATAAAAATTAAAACGGCACGCCCAGATCCGTTTTAATCTGCGCCGCGACCAAAAATAATTCCGCGTACTCGCGATCTGATATTTCTTCGATTACTCCGGCGGCGGCACAATCCGCGATTTGACCCCTTGATGCACCTCGACGGAATGACCGCGTACATTGCAATAAATTCTCAACCAACGGCTTTTTCCGTAACAGGAAGCGAGCGTGTAGAAATTGCGAGATGTGGCAATTCTTTGAGCATATTGTTATATCGCTATTGAAATATTATTATAATTGCATTATAGCAACTGTTTACTATTGCACATATGTGTGATGTATTCTCGAAAACTGATGTGATTTGTAGAAATATTATTTAGAATTAGGAAAAACATAGAATTTCTGATATAGATATGAAGCCATTTAATAGGCTTCTTTAATACATTCATAGAATAACATGCATTATATGCACTGTAAAACAAGATCAGGGAATTCAACTCGAATTGAGGTAAACCAACTCAATCTCAGAATTAAATACGACGAACTAGCCGTCGGGTTGCACCAAGAAACATTTTAACGTTCCTTTAATATCTTCCTTGTGTTAAATAAACATTAAATTTAGTTTTATAAAATATTTAAATAGTTGACTAAACACTATTATTGGTAGTAACGGAACATAATTGTATCGTCAATTAAAATAATTTTATGAGCGTTATGAAATAAATCTGCAATAGAATAGATTGATTTTAACTTTTTTTATTGGATTATTCTACAAAGTAACGAGAACTCAATAAATTGTTGATAATAAGAATTTTGAGGTAATCTCTACTTTTTATTATCTTCGAGTGAAGTAGATTTAATAATTTATCTAATAGGACAATTCATAAAATTTATTCGATCCCCCGTTATTTTGTAAAATGATTTAATTAATATTATAATTAAAACCTATTATATAGATCGATCGAACTACCTTGAAAAAATGTTTGTCGCCATAATGTGGCAAGAAGTGTATGAAAAGATCAGTCGACTATCCTCGCTTTATATAGGTAGACGTCGAATTTTACGAGTACACGTGCCATCTGTTAATAGCTCCACAAAACGTTCCCTCGTTCTAAATCAAAGTGAAGTATCGTTAATATTTTATTAAATTCCTATTATTTTTAAGTCGTGTTATTTTTACGTTATTCATGTTCATTTACTACCAATAATGGTTCATTCAACTTTATATAAATACGCTTATGATTATGCCGTCCCATCATTGAATTACGTAAATAATTAGTTCAATTTACTTTTCTGTATGATTAATTTGATCTCCATGAAGAGGCAGATTTATTAGAATTACGCAGTTAAATCACCCTTGTGGTAATCGAATGAATTTCTAATATTATTACATTAATCTTATTTCAGATCGGTTAATTATATACTTTGATTAAATTTTTGAGTACAATTTACTACGTGAAGTTATTCATCTAACTAGTGTAATTATTTATCGAACTAGGTTTTTATTCTTCTTGACTTGATTATACTTCACTTAACTCAAATCGCGTAATCCTCAGATTTAGTTCTTTTCACTCCGAGTATTTTTTACAGTGTGGAATAAAATTATGAAAAATGTATTGCGAAATTTTTCAAATTTAATCGCGAATATCATGAATTAAGGAAATTATTATTGTTGTTTGATGAATGGAGTTGCGACATGCTCCTTAGAATATATTCGCATATATGACTTTAGAAATATATTGATTTAATTGTGATATCTCTCTGTATTTATTAAATTACTCTGTATAATAAAAATATAATGTTTAGTAAAATTTGTAAAAGAGATTAATTTGTCAGTTATTAAAAATTATTACTCTAAACTATACTAAAAATTATTGTCAATTATTTGAATGAAAAACCGCAAACGATAAACTCGGAGGTAATACAGAGATTATTTCTCCGAACGGTTTATTTCCGGGTAATCTGATAGTTCCTGCTATTCGCCTAACATTTCTCGGCGTGTCATTTCATCTTCGTGAGAAGCGTGCATCAATAATCTTATTTCTCTTTTCTCTGTTACAGGCGTCTCGTGAAGAGTTATCAACCGAAGAAGAAGGAGGAAGAGGATTATCAGTAAGTATAAAAGCTATATGTTCGCGTACTCTATCTTCTCGAATTACTGACGATCTCAGATAGATTATTGAATCTATCGGAAAGAGTAACAAACATACGTTTAAATTGTCTGTGGTCGAAATGGATTATGCCACTAGTTAATCAAGGGAAGTAAATAATTGTACCATTCGACGAATGAAATAGTAATTATCTGAGGTGATTATTTTCAAGGTAAAAGTTGTATAAATCAGTATGGATACTTATTTTTTTATTATGTCTCTTACGATATAAAAATATATTCTGCAATTATATGCACACACACACAACGCATTGGAATTCATCGCATTCTTGAATATAACCAGGATTTATTAAAGCAAAAAAATGTATGGCAAGATTATTTCCTTCGAGAATCTCTACTGATCTTTAATTTCATAGGTATACCGAGTTCTGTAGAGCCATAATTAATTTTCTGACTCGACGCACAGAATGTGTACTGCGCGAGTAATTAAGCGCGCATAAGAGCGTGTTAGGTTAGGTCAGAATTAAAATAAATGGCTGTTAAAAAAGCAGAATCAGGGTAAAAATAAAGCAAATTTTATGTCAACAGATATTCTCCAACTTTTCACTCCTGTTTTTCACTCTCGCGCAAAATTTTTTCATTCGTCACTTGCAAACCAATTAAACGTCAAAATGAAATAGAAACAGGAGCAACCTGTTTATCTTGCGACCTAGAATCCAATCCTGATCGAAATTAGAAAGTTATCATCAATTTTTGTTCAATAGAAACGTGATATTAACATCTTATAGTTTTAGATTTCTATTTTTTGCGCTTAAATGCGATCTCTTTTCTGTCAGAGACTCTAAAACTTAGGAAAGAATCAGAATTTTATAAATTATCAAAATAAATTATATAAAAACTAAAAACGATCTTTTTGATAAGATGCTAATTTCATGCAGAAATTATACTTTGTAGCATAGGCGAGATGCTTATAAGTTCAATAACTCCGCGAAAGAGATCTTATAGCGCTCGCAGTTGGTTCGTTATGGAGCAGTGTAAAGAATGTGTCATGCTAATCGGCGTAGGCCGAGATTTAGGCTCTTGTCGTTCTATGAAATCAGCCTGCGTCGGCGTTGTGTAGATCAAAAATTATTCTTGTCGTATATGCAACAATTATTATTTTAAATTTATATTAAACTGTTTTAAAAAACAATTAAATAAATTAGCTGACGTTATTCATGCATTTTATATTTATAATTAAGGGACAAGAGGGTTTACTTATATGAAATGCAAATTGTTTAAAATACCTAGATCATTAGTATTTCTTGACAAGAGACATTAAAACTTACTAATTAAAAAACAGCAAACTAAAGTATCAGAAAAAGTAAAGTATTAGACAAAAAGGCGAAATTTAGAGGATGATAAAGTAGAAGAGAGAAAGCGGACTTCTTAAAAATATTAAGAAAGTAGTATAAAAAGAAAGAATTGCGAATTTTAATCAAACGAAAATGAACATCTACGAAAAGAGAAAGTAGATAAGAGATAAAATAAATGTAGGACGAAAGAACAAAGAGAAGAGCGCGCTTGTGTCCTTTCAGGTATAGTCCTTGTCGGGCATTTAAAATGGAATTGAACGAAGTGAACGATCAAGCCGGTCAGCGGGAGGTAATCGCGGAAAACCTCCAGGCCAACGTTCTACGGGAACTTAACATCCTGGTTAAGGACTTCAAAGAGGATCGCAAGAAGCATCTGCAGGAGGGCGCGCGACTAATGGCCACCCTAGCCGGTCAGATCGGCAATCTGGAGCGTGCCAGGAAGGCCTATGAGAAGGCTTTCCGCGAGGCGGAGCGCGCTGTGGAGAACTACCAGCGAGCGGACGCGGATCTTAATCTTTCGAGAGCAGAGGTGCGTGATAAAAAATTTCCTATCATTTCATAATAAATCCCGTCAGCTTTAGCGTGCTGGGTATCGATCATGTAATTTTTTCTCTAGAGCAGAAATGTGAAAAGTGAAATTTTTTATGTATTTACGTATGAACATATATACACATACATACAAAAAAATTTTCATTTTTCACGTTTCCGCCTTAGAGAAAAAATTACATGATCGATACCTTGGTCTTTCTGAAAGTGGCTTAACATGTATACGATAAGTGGAAAGAAGAGTCAGTAGTATCATTTCGACGGAATATAGACAGAATCTCAAGTTTTTCTACGGATAGATAGAACGTGTAAAAAAATTATGCCTTTAAATTATGAACGATTGATGAAAATTGTATATATTGATGCTCGATGATGACCAATTTTTTTTCTGCAACGAGCAGGTCGAGAAACAGAGAATGAATATGACTATGAAGACCCAGCAGAGCGAGGAAGCCAAAACGGAGTACGCAAATCAGCTACAAAAAACGAATGACATGCAGACGTTGCACTACCACACAGCGATGCCGGAAGTGTTTCAACATCTTCAGGTACTATTTTATCATAACTGTGCGTGATTGCGTCCACGTTTTATTATATTGTTTGTAATTCTTATATAATATTATTCGAAAAAATATTCTGCCTCTTTTGCCATTGTACAAGAGTTCAAAGAACTGTGCATGGACGCTATATGTTTAATGTAATAAAAAATTATGATATAGTATTTGTTGACATATTTGACATATTTGAACAATCGTGGATTACATTATACGCTAATCAAATACAAAGTTAAATTTTAATTAAATTTGAATTAATTTTACTCAAAATTACGTTAATTTGTCTGTATCTTTAATTACAAGTTTACCAATATCAGTTTAATAAATTAATATTAACTTCCTAGTTGGAAATTATTACAATGTTGTCTCTCAATTCAATAATTCCAATTATCTTAGTAACCCTTTACTTATCAGGAGACGCGGTAGCGGCTCCCGTCAAGTATATTTTTGTAGTACATAATAATATTACCATGTCATGAAAGATTAATCCTTTTCTCATGGGTAATTCTTTCTCATATGTCGCGCTTTTGCCACAGGAGCTGGACGAGAAGAGGATAAAAAACATGCGGAATTATATGATGAAATCTGTAGAGATTGAGCGGGCAGTGGCACCGATAATTGCCCAGTGCTTAGACGGCATTGAGAAGGCGGCGAACGAGATTAACGAGAAGGAGGACACAATGTTGGTAATCGAACGGTATAAGAGCGGTTTCCAGCCACCCGGAGATTTTCCCTTTGAAGACTTATCGGTTGCTAAGAACTATGAGAGCAACAGTCAATTGGCTCAGCCCGTTATGCAGCCAATCCATAATCACCTCACGGTCAAGGGTACCGTCTCCGGTGGCAAGATCAAGAAGAGGGTCGGCCTCTTCGGGATTTTCGGCAGTAATAAGGTAGATACTCGTCCATTGCTCTGAAAGATTGTTGCGATTCTTTTGAGATCATTGGTGCACGTTCTCAGTGCATAGGGTGTATTGAAAAGATAAGTGGATGGTCCTTGAATTTAATGAAACCTGCTGATAAGTATTGAAAAATAATTGAGAATTTGGGTGTATATCAATTGCCCACATCGCTAATTGGCTAATTTAAAATAATATAATTTCATTGATAAAGCAGTTAAAAATTACTAAAAACCGATATGAGTGGTGTGTGCAATTGAACTGTGTGCAAGTGCACCGCTTTGTGAGAATTTAATATTTTTTTTTTACGGATTTTTCTTTAATTCTCTGTTCGGCCTTTTTAATTTAATACAAGATAAGCTTTATACGATTATTCATTATTACTCTTTGATTATTTCAATTTTATACATTTTTATTAGAACGATATCTTTTCAAACATCCTATATTATGCATTTCTCGTGAAGCCGTCGAGTCTGGACGATTTCATAAAATTTTGCAACAATTCTTTTACGTATATCACAATTACATAATTGCAAAATTTTTTAAGTCCATTGAAAAAATGATTCCTGATAGTTTTTAATTCACAATGTTTATAAACCGAAGACTCGATGACTCAAAGAAGAGTTAACGTAACTGCATTATTTATTTATTACCCTCTGCGAGGTCGTGAGAAGGAAAGGATAATTGCAAAGGATAATTGCATATTATTTTTATAGCATGCATGACAATTCTTTGTGAAGTATAATATTATTTTATTCTTTTAACTTATCATTTATGTATGTATACTTTGCATCTCCTTATTCGCCGACAGGCTTGCTCTTATATGCACACAAATATCTATTGCGCATGTACATTAGTAGATTCCGTATTCTTCCGACCGGCTGCAATAATGTTATTTACGTGCGACTTCTCAATTATGTTTTGTGCACTGTTATCTATGATTATTCGAAACTCTTTTTGTATCTTCAAATTATTATTATTTGAAGTGATTTCGACCTTTTATAATTCATAAGCGCTTTTGGGATACAGCAAACTTTTTATATTATATGATATGATAATATGAACTTATATACTAATAAATTTAAATTGAAAACTCAAAATGTTAATCATAAAAAAAATTAAGGTTAATTAAAGTAAAAAAAATGTTTTGTGTTCATTCCCTGCTAAAATGTAAGATTTTGTTAATTTACTTAAATAGAGCACACTTATTTAACATCTTTGTATTATAACGATATAATATGTATTATAAATATCTAATTTTTATTAAAAATTTTTATGTTGGGTAAATTTTCGGGATTAATTTTTCGAATACTTTTATACACGCCACTCTTAAAATGTAAAAAGAATAATAATTATGTTTGATAAACTCTGATAAAAATTAGAATACGGTTCAATTGTGTACTATTTTTATACGCTCGGACTATAATTTGCAATCACTCTTTCGTTTGATCTCGCATAACGAAAAACATAACTTATTTTTCTTCTGTACTTTCTATTAATTTGGTGGATGGTTCAATCTGCCTCTGTGGTCTCTTGTTTCCAATCATCACGGGCTATGAATTGGGATATTATCACACTTAGTAAGTACTTCGTAGACCGCTTTTCCGCTCGCAATTATGTATATAATAACTATTTATCTGCTTCATAAAGATAAAATACATATGATATTAAAATATCTTATTAAAAGAGCGTGAACCCAACGGATATATTAATCTTAATCAGTATAAGATTGATCAATTATATTTAATGTAAAAATAATTAAAAATTTTGAGAATTGAGATAATTATGTTTTTAAAAATTTACAACTCTTGTAAGAGATTTATGGAATAATATTTGTAAAGTTAAAAAATACATTTTATATGAAACTATATTGAAATTAATGTATTGTAAAATATTTTTGCATTGTTAAATAACGTTGTAAAAACTTGAACTTAATTAATGTAAAATTATTATGTAAAAATACTGAATCAATGAATCAATTTTTTGTTGTATTATTATAAATATTTTATATTATTTAAGATTAATAATTTCCGAAATAATGAATTCTCACTTATGCTATTGCTGGAAGTCTATCCTGTTCATTCGCTGATACGCTTTTCGAATTTGTTTCATGCTAACGACAGAAGTTGATCGAGGTGTGCATAGCTTTAAAGGTCTGTCCTTTATATAATCGCCAAGTAATTTTCCGATTGACCCTTTTGGTGCTTAGTTGAATGCTTACAAGTGCTCGAAACTTGCTAGTCTTCTTTACATGTCGTAGTAAATAGATGATACAAACAATCGCTTCTTTAAAAGCAAAATTGTCTCGATAATTAATTCGATTATTTCGATTATTTAAAATTAAATTGAGGGAATTCTTACATCTGCGAAATATATGAATCATATGAATCAATTAAACAAATCTAATTTTTGCGAAAACAAAAGCTTTTTTGATCTATGAAATGCAAAAAAACTGTAGTCTTGATATTTAATAACATCAGTTTGCGAATTTCTTGAAATTTAAATTCTGAAAAATTAAAGAAATTAAATTTTAATTCTTTTAACACATCATATTTTCCACCTAGCACCAAACGGGTTAAATATTCTTATTTCTGAAATAATGTGTTATAATTTTTTTTATTATATACTGCAAAGAATACATTTTATTGATATTATCCATTATCGTTTAGAATAATGAGCGATATTGAATATTGAAGTTGTCCATCAATATCAATTTATGCTAGTTTTCACTAACAATTCGCAGATCATTAACAGAACGAATTCCTCCTGCAACAAAATGTGTTCCCAAACTTTCTCATCTTTCTTTCTGTTATTTTCCTGAGACCTAGACTGTAATATATTGAGTGAAAAGGAGGGAGGGGAGAGAGAAAGAAACTCGTGTTTTTCAATCATAAAATTTTCTTAATTCATTCTTGTTTACATAATTTATTATTATATACATTGGTACTAATTATTTGATTCGATAATATCATTAAGTTCCATTGCAAATAAAGTTTCTGGGTCTCAGAAATATGCACAGATAATTTTTCAAGAATCGATATTTATTGTAATAAATTCCAGAACAATGTGCCTGGCTACGGTGATGGTGCCAAGGAGGACTGCAGCGATTTGCCACCGAATCAGCGGAAGAAACGATTGCAGCAGCGACTGGACGAGATCCAGGCGAAAATCCAACAGGAGACCGCAGCGAGAGATGGTCTAATGAAGATGAAAGGCGTATATGAACAGAATCCCGCTCTCGGAGATCCGATGAGTATAGAGGGGCAACTAAACCAGTCCAGTAACAAACTGGACAAGCTCGGAGTTGAATTGGCAAAGTTTCAAGGCTACCTCGAAGAAGCAATGCGTGCTGGTGCCAGTTTGTCTAGGTAAATGTAGCTTTGTTAGAATTGTGCAAGGAAGTGTACTGATATTTGTTAGTCATACAGAACAACCGCTCTAAAAGCGAGCAATGTTCATAGTGTAATTGCGAAAAGTGAAACGCGAAATATAAACGATATTTATATAGAGTAACACAGTTATAAGTAATATAATACGTGCTTTTATAATTTATGTAACTTTATAGTGCTTAAAATAATAAGTCGAAATATAATTTTCTAGAGAATTGTCTACATAGTAGTTAATTGGATTAAGACTAGTATTTTCTGCATAATGTGTTTAATTCATGAAAGAAATAAAGAAGTAACTTGATGTGGTTTCAGCCCAAGTCAAGCACAGCGAAAACCTACTACTAACGGTTCGGCAACGAGGCCATTAAGTTCACGAAGAGGTAGTCATTCGGGCGGCGAGGAGAGCCTTTCGAGATCCGCTTCAGATTCGAGCGTCTGTAATGCGAACGCGAATCAACCGGTTCACAAGAAAAGCGCACCGAGCACACCACAACCAACTCATGGGTAAGTTATCTTGGTAATGTGGGATAACGCACAGATCACATCACACTCCGAAAATTTCGGAACTTTTAAAATCCATACATCTTGCTGTTTATAAATTTGTTATTATTTGTATCACGTTTTATTATTATTGAATATTTTACCATTATTTACCATCATTAATATTCTATTTTTATATTCTATTATTATATTGTAATTATTGTATAGGTACCCTCTTTGTTTCATAAATTCATACTTAGAAACATTGCAATGTCTTCGACTTTTATGCAACCATTCTTATCTTATCGGAACTAATGAACATAAGTAACAGTGATAATTTGAAGTACTATTACTTGAGTCATTGCCATTTTACTCGATTCAACAAATTAGTGTGACGTGAATGGAATTTTGCTATGTTCATAATTGCTTATAGGTTCAGATTAGATTACGATTTACTCAATGTGTTTTCGCGAAAGCGTTTGGTTTACGATATTGAGTAGATTAGACACTTTACACTAGACAAATAGCCACGGTTTTCGCTTTATGGTACTGATGCACAGTTCCACGAACAGCCCGGAATCTGGCCTTGGCGAATCGAGAACGTCGCTACCCGGCAGCGGCTGCGAGGAATATTATCATGACGAAGTGGACGCTCAGCCGCCACTGGGAACATGCCGGGCGCTTTATCCTTTCGATGGTAAGTCCCTTCCAATTTATAGCCAAACATGATTTACATGTCTATATTCTCAATTTTAGAGATAAAGACACGAATATAAGTTTAAAGTCTAGCAGAGAGAAAGAACTATAAATATTTTATATTTTTGTTATTATAATGTTTAATTTTGTTACTATTTTATTTGCAGCAACTAGCGAAGGTTCTATACCGATGTACGATGGCGAAGAGCTATATATGATCGAGCTGGACCAGGGAGACGGTTGGACTAGAGTGAGACGCATTTCGCAACCGATCGAAGGTTTTGTGCCGACCTCGTACATAGAGTGTCATCTCTACAACACTTAGCCGCTTCTCCTAGGTTGTTAAAGGGAATCTGCGCGATTCGAAATCGCTCGAAGGAGATTATAAACAAAGACGTATTTGGTGCCGTCGAAGACTTGAGGGTCATGTGCTGGATGAATTGGCACAGGATGTCGGGATGACAAGAGCGGATTGCAGGCCTAATCAATACTCTCGAACGATGGAAAGTCGAAAGATTCTTAAATTTGAAGATGTAATGAGGAACTTGTGGACGTGGACAGGATTGCGAATATTCACAAATAAAATATATTACAAAATTTCTTTTAAGATTTATAAGATTGATGAAAGATAGAAGATAGAATTCCTTATTCATGAAAAAAATCTTTCATCAATCTAAAGATCCGCAGTCATAATCTATAGAAGTAGAAGCATCCGCGGAATCGGATTATCGCGTGCTAATATTCTCATATTCAACGAAATCGCGATCACACTTCCAACACATCTTCTCAAGGATTCCTGTTCGGTCGATCGGCCGATCGATCAGGAAGAAACAAAGGAACGACACGATACGAACAAACGCCCCGGCTTTGTGATCAATCAGTCTAATATAAGCGTAATAGGAATAGGATCGAGCTCATTTTTGGGCTTATTATAGACTCCTAAGAGATATATTTTGCCCTTATTCGGATTTATTTAATATAATATTTTGTTATGTAATAATTACTCTTGCAATTATCTGTTAAAAAGGTATTTAACAGATTTTAATAGCGTATTATTAATAGCGAATGTATTATTTACACTTACGTTTAAATCATTATTTTCGTGATCTAAAAAATACGATTTTTTTTTATGAAGGCTCGCGGCGATCATACAGTCTTACTCGCATTATTATATTATTTTAAAGTTATAAGTTGATATTAATGGCTGTTGATAATTATAAATGATAAATTTTTAACCGCGGCTCTATTGTTACCGCGAGAAGAAATTCTGTATGCGGAAGACCATATCGGGACCTGCATCTTTTTGCGTTTAATTTGTCGAAATTACTACTGATAACAATAATTATTACATTATTAATCTCAAAAGTTTTAATTATAAATACTGTATCTTGCAGACTGTACACTATATTTTATTGTGTAAATAAATAATTCTCTTTTTTATTATTTTTAATTTGGTCTTATATGAAGGGCCACTGTGGCCTCTAAGTCTATCTACGGCAGGAAACTCATAAATTCTGAAGTAAGGGTTGAATTTAGGCATCTGGTGTATGATAGTGTTACGTCTGATTATATACATACTCGATTATGGGTACGGTCAACGCGATGCTACAAACACTTTGAAGCGTTTTTTAATTGGTCAGTTTGTAAAATTCTTTCTTCTAATTGGTTCATCAAACGCTTCAAAGCATTTGTAGCGAGATTTTGACCACAATCTATATGCATTGTAATTTTTAATCCTTTAGCAGGAGCAAGAATCGAAACAGAAAAATTGCGTTATTGGATAATTGTTGAAAAAAGAATTATTTAAACTCGTAATTGGGAAATGCTAGATTTTAGTCAGCTATTAGCATCATGGTTGACGAAAATAGTGCAATATTCTGATTAAAAATCTTGAGACGAGTCTCTTCTGTCTGTATAAAAATTTATATATAAGTTCTCAAGCTCGCTACAGAATTACACTAATGTAGCTGCTTAAGGATTAAAGCGCGACGTCTTTTTGTGAAGAGCCGATAGTGAAATATTCTTAATGCATTCACGTGACTTTTCGAAACGTATTTTTTTTCCGTGTAGATGTGCACGAAAGAAACATTTAACGACCTCGTTGAAAAAAAGAGAAGTAACTATCTTAATAATAATAATCGCGCTCCGCCTACTCGTCACTTGCAAATTAATTATAACTGTTGTAATTGTCGCCGCACCGAAGTTTTATCGTTCTTTTGTATACTTGACTCTATGTCGTAAAAGGCGGCCGACTGTTACACGGATACGGCTCACTATCACGCTAAGAGAACACGAGACTGATTGCTGCTAGAGTTTCGTCGTACTCGCGCGAGTCGAACAAAATCTCGACGTTTACTCGTAATCGAGATCGCAAAAATCGGCAAGATTCCGAGGTACATTGGCATCGAGAGAAGAATTACAGAAATTATGAAAACATATAAAATGCACATAGCACAGGATAAAATTCGGCAAAGGATTTATATACATATAATTAGGATTTTATAATTGAACATTCATACATATACAATTTATCATACATATACATATGAAATTGAGGTTTTTTTAAAGTGTTATGTCTCTTCTTCCAAGGAACCATATATTTGTAGTATCTAAATTTTGAGCAGTCTAATTTTTAATTTTAATAAAATAAAGATTCTTAATATATTCTAATTTTTAATTTTCCAAAGCGAAAAGATTTTATAAAGTTGGATGAATATATATCAGATGTGCCAAGATTTACGAAATTGAAATTTTTTGCAATTCTAGTTTTTAAAATCTTAAAAATCTTCTTGTGGTTCTTTAACATTCTACAGACTTACGATTGTTTTATTTAAATCGCGTGTAATCGAGATTAAGCAAAAGGAGATATCTGTAGATACGAAGGATCCTGAAATCCGATTACGTGTAACATCAATTTGTGATGAGAAACAGGTTGTTCCGATGGATCAGTCGGCGTACCGCGTTTAAGGAGTTGCCTGAATGTGACTAGTTATAATAGATTTATGTAAATATTGTCAGGAAGATGGAAGCGAGAGCGAGGCTATTCAGTATGCGAGTGCCAGAATCGACATTAAGACGAGGATTCGCTTCTGTCACGGACAAGAGCTTGATCCTTAAATATTTGGGTATTCTGCGATAAACTGTGCTGCGTTGATGTTATACATCGTTATATTTAAATAGCTGAAAAATAATGTTCGCAATAATCATAGGCGGTAAGTTGTAACTGTAGAAGACATAGCGTTGTAAGCTTGCCACTATTGTTATTTCGGACAATGTTTTGCGATAGTGAGAATCTCGATGAATATTGTTAAAGCAGTACAGAGAAGTATATATCTGAAAGATCCGATCCTTGATCCACATGTCTTGGAAGGAAGTCCGCGCGATCACGAGAATCTGGTGTGTTCATCGTACTTTTCCGAGCAGAATCCGGGATTCGTGTAACTTTCTCGTGTATTGAATGTATATGTATATATTATATATATAGATATATATAGATATTATATATTCGATCGTCAGGAAGAAAAGGCGTAGCTTCACGTATAGTCGTACGCAAGTACACAAATAAATATGATCAGTTCACTCATACATACATACGCACATGCGCATCCTGCCCCTGCTCTTGATTGCTTCCGATTCGTTAACGGCGAAAACAAGGGAATTGCTCGGCGATTATGTCAAAATGAAGTAACGGGGCCATATGTACGCTCCGACGTTTCATTGTGTCTGTTTTATGTATATTTTGTGATTCTCTAAACGCGCGAACAAGTATTGTAGATAATTAATTCTGCGTTTTATTGTACTTTATTATTATTTTTATTATTATTATTAATATTGAAAAAATACAGGTACTAAACCAATATAACTGTTTCGTTAAAACGTGCCTAATACATATATTTGCGCCTTTTTATATCCAGAGTTTTTCCTCGTATTTTTAATATTTAATTTTATCTGTTACAAAAATATGTTTGGTTAGTTTCAAAAGTTACACTTTATATTTCTTGTATAACGATTTTTTAATGTCAATTTCTACTATTTTGTTGTTACATAAAAATAAAAAATATACAAATATCATAATAATAGTTAAATCTTGAATATAATATTCATATTTATACGAATACCTGGAATAGTATTGTTCATAATAATCATAGTACTATTTAACAATAAGTATTAAAACGTGAATTAATACTTTGTTTAGTAGATAGAACTTATTTAATATATATTCAAGTAATTATTACACAATGCAAAAGATACTTTAGTTATTTTTACATTACAAAGAGATAAGAGATTTATTTTGTTTTAAAAATTTTATTCATTGAACTCACAATTATATAAAATTAGCAAATTGAAGCATGCACCGCCATCATCTTTATTTTGTGTCGCGTTGCGACTATTTCTGAAATTATATTGTGTGTTTTTAATCGTCTGAAAATTGCACATGTGAATAAACATCGCGAGTATCAAAGTACTGAACGATCATTGTATCATGCAATACTTTCCGATGTATTTATATTACTATAATTAATTATGTTTTTTGATCACATGAGCGAGTAACTACAATGAAGTTGAGATTGCGTGCAACTTAAAGCTGATATTGTATCAACAGTTCGGTAAGTAAATTTATTTTATCACATATATGTATATAGTATGTAAAGTTAATTTAGTCTATAAAAATTAAAAAAAAGGAATTAGTTCTCGATAAAAAATTTTTCATGCATGAATATATATAAATATGTATAAACATACATAAACACGCATAAATATTCATGAACATGTATAATTATATATGAAATTGTCCATACAGGTTCATACATCCTTTTTTCTTTTATACAATTACTTTTTAGTAATTGTATAATTACTTAATAGAAATAATAATAGTGTAATGTAAAAACATTAAAAATAATTATAACTTGAAACCCGCCTTTTTTGCAAAAATTAAGCTTTTATTTAAGAAACGAATAAAAAAAATTTATCAAAGTATTGGCCATCGTTAGATATAACTTTTTCCCATCTTTCTGGTAATAAGCGGATCCCATGGTGAAAGAACGTCTCATCTTTAGAGGCTATCCAGTCAGAGACCTATTTTTCGACATCTTTATAAGACTTGAAGCGTTCCTCAGCAAGTGCGTGTGCCATCCTGCCATCGACCGAAACAAGTGGTAATTGGAAGGGGCACAGTCTGGTGAATAAGCCGCATGGGGTAGCACTTCCCAGCGAAGTGCTTCTAATGTTTCCTTAACAAGTTTTGTGATGTGAGGCCGAGCGTCGTCATGAAGCAAAACCACTTTATGCTGTTTCGTTTCATATTCTGGTCGTTTTTCGCGCAATGCTAAACTCAAACGGATCATTTGTTGTTGGTAGAGATCCCCTGTGACTGTTTGGCCAGGTTTCAGTATCTCATAATAAATCACACCCTTCTAGTCCCACCAAATACAGAGCATGGCCTTCTTCCCGTGAATATTGCGTTTTGGCGTCGATGGTTGGCCTGGGTCGTAAATAGTTTTTCGGCATTTGGGGTTATCGAAATAGATCCACTTTTCATCGTCAATCACAATTCGATGCAGAAACCTCTTTTTTGCCTGGTAAGCAGCATTTCGGAGATGGTTTTTGGCTTTTCGATATCTCTTTCAATTCATATGGTACCTATCTTTCTTCTTTATATACCTTTCCCACGGCTTTTAAGGGGATGCTGAAGTCTTCTTTTTTACCGATAAAGCAAGCGTTTATGTTAAATACAATATTCTACGAATTAGTTGCACAGAATAAAAATTCCTTCTCCACGATTGAAATATCCGTGCTAATGTACCTGCTCCTGATGTGTTTTGTGTCCAAAGCTGAGAAAAATAATAAATTACAGATTTCTGTATCCATGTGCTATCAGCTCACCAAACATTTATTCCGTGAAAAAATTATATGCACGTTATATGCTCGAAATTAGGGCAGGAGCATATGTAGAATAAAAGGACGAATACAGTCATATTTTTAGAATTGAGTTTTGACGTCTAAATAAAAAGATAATTGCATTCTACGAAATTGTGTGTCTAGCGCGTGAGAAATCGACGATGTACGACAGTTTAGACTGTTTAGCCATGAAACCGAGCAGTATTTTAGTTGATCTCTTTCTAAGAGATGGCGTTGCAATATGTTAGATAAGGACAGATGAATGCGTTTGAGCGAGACACAACGATATATAATAAGTATAAGAAATAAATGAAAGATGTCACTATTTGGAATTTAAAAGTCTGTACTATCGACTTTGATTAACTTTGACGTCATTCCAGCATCCCCTTAAACGCTTGAAAATGGTTACTTGAGTAACATTCAACGTTTCTACAAGTTGATTTTGTGTTTGACATGGATCTTCATCCACCAATACTTGCAGTTCTGTATCATCGAATTTTTTATGTTGGTCTGGACGTTCTTTATTTTTCGTGTCAAAATCACCAAGTTTGAATCGTCGAAACCATTCGTTGCAAGTTGTTTCCGATAGAGCAAGTTCCCTATAAGCTTCAACAAGCATTCGATGAGATTCAGCAGCAGTTTTCTTCAAACTGAAACAGAAAAGCAAAGCTTCGCGTAAATG